ATCTGCCCTCATTATTTGAGTTTTACTCCTTGTTGGGGAGGGGTGAGGGGTGAGTGAGTGGGGGGGGGGGAAAAATCACACCCGCAACCGAAACAAAATAATTATATATATATATATATATATAAAAACTTTAAATATTGTTAATACTTTTAATTTAATAATTTTTGTCGTCTATTTGATTATTAATTAATTAATTAATTAATTAATTAAATTTATTTTTTTGTTGCGTAAAAAAATATCATTATTATTATTATGTGCGTGTGCGTATATATATATATATTTAAAATCTTAATTAAAAATCACTGGCCTTAGTTCAATGGCATTGGGTAAAGGATAAAGCAATTTTTTTGTATAACAAAATATTATTATACATTAATATCCTTTCTCTTTCTTTCTCCCCGCGCTAAAAATAATTTTTTTTTTTTTTTTTTTTTTCACGCAAATTTTCCCGGTAAAATCAAATAGACGTCAAAATACGAAATTTTTTTTTTGTTCTTTGGGGGGGGGAGGGTTCAAAACGGACAATTATTAGTTTTCAATTTATCGTCTCACCTGAAATGGCTTCCAGACAATGTAAAAACGTTTCCATGTTTCTTTCGCAAGTTGCTTCGTTTAAATAAAAATAAGTTCTCGCTGACTGAACTTTATACCGACGATCGGCAAATGATTTTTCTACGTGATACTGAGGCAACGAACCGGGGGCAACATCATCCGTTTTTGCTGTTGTTTCAGTGGGTACCGACGCACTGGAAAAAAGTGATCAATAACATATATATAAAAACATTATCCCACGTCTCATCTCTCTCTCTCTCTCTCTCTCTCTCTCTCTCTCTCTCTCTCTCTCTCTCTTCTCTAACAAAAAAAAAAAAAAAAAAAAAAAAATGGTAAACATACGCGACTTCTCTACTTTCTGCTTCCTCTTGCGTTAAATCCTCTTCGACGGAATAATCGAGAATGGGTTTAACACCGAAAGAACGCAGACGTTCTAAATTTGGTCTAATTCTAAACTCGTCTTCTCCTGCCACAAAATGACCGTAAAAAGTCATTTTCATAAGAAGAGCGAATAATCTGTCTCCCATCACCATTTTCATTGCTTTCATTATCTACAAAGTAACAAGAAACAAACAAACAACATCAGTTTCATTATTATTATTAATATTACCTTTTTTCAGGAAGAAAAATTACATTAAATTATATTAAAAAAAAAAAACATAATGACGACAATGATGATGATGATGGTAATATAAAAACCTAATAAATAACTTTTTCAAGTTGACAAATTATTATTTATTATACTTTTTTGCTTATTTTACCACGAACTATGTGACCTCGTTATTAAAAGATTTACCGTATCGTATTAATTATTATTATTATTATTATTACTACCATTACTACTTTTATTAGTAATAAATGCATGATTATTATTATTCAAACGTTTTTTTTTTTTTTTTTTTTACCTCGTTCCCTAACTAAAATATTTGTTTTACATTGTTGGCAAACAAATTATTATTAGTTTTTTTAACAATTTATTTATTCAAGGGCGTACAACATAACTAAGGGGCCTAATTTTTAAATAATTCAAATTTTTAAAAAAAAAAAAAAAAACAAAAAACAAAATAAACTTGAAAATTGCACATATCACGTATATCGAAAATCGATTTTTACAAAACTCGAATGGAAAATTCCTAAAAAAAAAAAAAAAAAAAAAAATTTTCATCTGTTCCATGTTGGGATTGATTGATTAATTTTTTTAAATATGGCACCAACAATTGTATCATTTTATTTATTTATTTATTTATTTATTTAATTATTTATTTTTTTGAGATGATATCAGAGTTTCAGAGCTCATTCGTGAATGTGAAAACCTTATCAAAAAAAATTTTTATTATATAATTTATAATTATTAATTTATTATTGTTTATTAACGTACGCAATATTGATTTGTTTTTATTCTATCAAGTAAATATTATAAATAAATAAATATCATTATTATTATTTCCCCCCCCCACCATGCAATCGAATAATAAAAATTTGTTTTTGTTTTTCAGTTTGCTTTTCATTAAATTAAATTTTTTTTTTTTTTTCTTTTCTTATCCGGTCAATTACTCACTCACTCACTCACTCATTATTATTATTAATATTGTTTTTCTATCGATAACTATTAATTATTTTGATAAGTAATAAAAAGACAAAAACTGTTTTTCAAATAAGTAATAATAATAATTAAAATATTAATAATAATAATTACGAAACAAATAATAAATAATAAATATTAATAAAGTCATTAAAAAAAATTTTTTGTTGAAACAAACACAATTTGTCATTATATTTTAACAATAATAAATTTTATTTTTTTTTTAACAATTACGTCATGATGTATTAAATACCAATAATAATAATAATAATAATAATAATAATTACTTTTATTATCATCAATGTGTTTTTGTTTTTCATCGATTTAACTAAATTCTGGTTTTTGGAAAATGAAAAAGGAAACTTTTTGGGCGTGTGTGTGTGTGTCATAGAAGAATAGAGCAAACACATTTAAGGGGAAACAAAAAAATTATTATTATTATTATTAATTTTCTTAATAATGAAATTATGATTTCGAAAAAGTCATTCCAGGATTCAAATATTATATAAAAAATTTTATTCGCTTTTCCTTGATGTAGATTTGTCATTTAATTATTTCTCTCTCTCTCTCTCTCTCTCTACCAAAGTCTTTTTATTGAAATTAACGTTAATATTAATATTATTATTATTAAAAAAAAAATTGTTTTTTCTCGAAGAAAGAAATAAACACTTTAGAATATTACTTTAGTAAGTGATGTAAAGTCAAAGGGAATCCAAAGGATAAACGTCTCTATCTAGATTATTATTATTATTAGATTGAAAATTTAAAGAGAAAAGTAAAGGTGTGAAGTCAGACATTAAAAAAAAAATTATTTATATGTAAAAAAAAATTAAAAATTTTTTATTTTGCGTAGGTAAGAAAGAAAAGAAAAGAGTTTTGTAAGTTAAATGCCAAAATTAATGGTGTCACGTACGATAATTACGTTAATTGCCATCGAAAATCTGTAACAAAGTTTAGTCTAAATAGCCTTCATATCAGAACCACGATTTGTGATAATGAAATCAATATCGCGTTTTTTTTTTTTTTTTTTTTTTTCATGAAAAACGGGTTTTTTTTTTTTTTTTTATGTATATATATATCAACTTGTTCCAGACGACTTTTTGCATGCGAATCAAGCCAAAAAAAAAAAAAAAAAATTCTTAAAGATTTATTGTATTATTATCATTATTATTTTACAAATTTCGTTCGTCCTTGGCCGATAAAAGAAAAAAAAAAAAAAAATAACTGAGCTCAACCTATGAATCGAATATTTTAAAATAGCGCAGTTTTGTTAACTTGAAAAATAAAATAAAAAAAAAAAATTTGATTTTTGAATTTAAATTTAAATTTAAAAAAAAATTTTTAAATAAAGGGGCATCCAACTCGGAAAAAATTTTTTTTTTATATTGTAAACTTTTGTTTAAAAAAAAAAAACAAAGTAAAAATATTTTGCATGTGATTGATCTAATAATAGATTTAATAGGAATTGACGCCATTTTAGTACTAATAATAGCTTCTTTTAATGTAAAATATAAATATTAAAAGTTCCTTGAAAGTAAATTCTCAATCCTCTCTACAGGGTGGCCTTATTAACCTATTTCAAAAATTTACCCACATTTTGGCCATTCTAAAATTAGTCGCAAGCTAAAATAAAAAATGTGTTGAACAAATTTTCTTTTTTCTCTTTTTCCTTTTTCCCTTACCCAAGACAGTAAAAAGAAAATCTCATTGAGATTATTTAAAAGAAAAATTTTCAGACACATTTTTCATAACGGAAGAACATTATTAGAAAATGTATTTGTTTGCCTTTCAATTTTAGTCGTAATAAAATCTTTTATTATTTTGTTTTACCGAAAACTTATTTACCGAAAGATTAATTTACTCGATACAAATTTTTTTTTATGCGCTAAGGGAAAACCATATATAATTTACTCTTTAAAATTTTCTCAATTGCAGATGTTAATTAAGATTATGCATGAGTGCCAATTATGCTTTCAAATCATTCATGTTGACACTGTTGTTTTGCATACATTACAATAATTGCAAATTTTTTTTTTTTTTTTTTAATGAAACTTTTCATTTTCGAAGATTAAAATTGTCCAATTAGGAGATTAATTTAATAGACTATTGAATTTTTTAATTATTGTGAATGCTATTATTTTCAATGAATTTAACTTGGTTTTCTATTAAAATATTACACATAAGGGGGGATAAAATGAAAATATGATTGATAAAATGTTAAAATCTGTTACATTGAATGTTGAAAAATTATTGACAGATGTGTGTGTGTGTGTGTGTGTGTGAAATCTGAGCAATCATCTAATGATCTCTTTAGACTTTTGTGACTATGTTATTACTTACTTTCATGTTATTTTCGACCAAAGTTTCCGACGAACATAATTGATAGACAATATATGCCCGCAGGACTTCCCATGTAGTTTTACTTTTGAATGCTGCACGGGCATCGTTGAAAGATAGGTCAAGGGGATCTCTAGGATGTGTGCTTTTGCCTTCGACATCTGTTTCATAACCGATAGCTGATGCTGCTTGTGTCGACTTACAATGAACTGAAATTAATGTTCTTAAAAAGTGAGAAGAGTGTTCATTTAACAATTGACTGCTTAACGGAAAATATTTATTACGAATACTGCTGCATTTAGTCACAGCACGCAAAAAAGCCATCGATTTTTTTCGTCGTGATTTTACGAAACTTTTACAACAATTTTAAGCTACCAAAGGCTGATTTTATCTATACGCGAACTATGTGTTTTTTATTATAACAATTTCACAGTTAACAACTTAATTCCGGCCTGATTATCGACTGACAAAGTTGAACTTGTCGTATAAGAGTGGAAATTTTTCACTCAAAATGGCGATCACGATCTCATTGGCCGTTTCCGTAGGTGTGATCAATATTTATTTGCTATTGGTCAGATTTTTTGTTCAAAAAATCAAGTAGCGAGATATCAAGATTTTTATTGCTTTCTAAAACACATGCTTTGCAGTCTGCTAAATCTTCTGCTAGAAGGGCTGTAATAGTTTTATAAAACAAAATTTTTCGGCCGGGTTTCATATATATACTCAATTTTTTTTTTTTTTTTTTAGGATTAAAAGAATTTGAGAAAATAATTGAAAATTAAAAATGAAGTATAGTGAATCAAATAATAATAATTCAGTATTCGTTCATTTTTTTATTTTTAGATAATAATGAGTAAATTGTGATAAAATGGCAATTTAATTTCAATATAACCCTTCTCATTGCCAAAACGTTCTTATACATTTAATACAATGTTTATTAAAATAAAATAAACTGCGGTTAGTTTTTATTATACTCGTAATTTTAAATTTTCTATTAAAACTATAGGATAACTTTACTTATTTACGTAAAATGACTCGAATTATCTAAACATGTAACTAAAAGTATATGAAAATGGTCTTAGTATTAATCTACATATAAAAAATACATCAAAAAATCAAAACAATATCAATAAGTTTACTTTCTCTTTGATTATTCATGTGACAATCAATAGTTGAATATTATATTACATTGTTTTAATATTTATTTTATAATTTTTCTAAAGTTTACTGAAACATTTTAGTGTATATTGTAATAAACTATATGTAATTAATTAAAATTGTTTTTAGGCCACTACTACATAACATCATGCCTGAAGCTGTAGAATTGGAACAATTAGTTATAAGGAATTCAGTTGAAGATTTAAGAGCTCAGTATGATAATCAATCTCATGTGAAATTCAAACATTGTTGCCCATATTTGGGTTTATTATTGGCAACAATATCATCATTATTTTTTTCCTTGTGCTCAGCAATAGTCAAATGGATGGTAGACGTCGATCCTATGGAGCTTGCTGCTTGCAGATTTGTCGGAGTGTTATTGCCCACAATACCGATTGTAGTTTATTGCAAAGAAACACCATTTCCTAAAGGAAAAAGATTAATGTTAATTTTAAGGTCATTCGTCGGAACTACAGGATTAATGTTAAGCTTTTATGCATTTAGAAACATGCCACTGGCAGATGCGAATGTAATTGTTTTCAGTGTGCCTGTTTTTGTTGCGATTTTTGCAAGAATTTTTTTGAAAGAGCCCTGTGGTATTTTTAATGTTGTCACAGTCATACTCACACTAATCGGAGTAGTTTTAATAACAAGACCTCCTATTTTATTTAACGAATTAGTTCCTCCTTTAGCTTCTTCAAATGAAAATGCTAAATCTAACATATGGGGTGCTGTTGCTGCTTTTGCAGCGACACTTTTCGGAGCAAATGTTTATATATTATTAAGAGCTTTAAAAGGTTTGCATTTTTCAGTAATTATGACAAACTTTGGTTCGTTTGCCTTAGTTCAAACTCTTTTGGTCACTTATCTCCTAGGAACACTTTGCATTCCAAAATGTGGAATCGACAGAATATTAATCGTTGCTTTAGCATTTTTTTCTTTCGGAGGGCAAATCCTTTTAACTCTGGCATTACAATTAGAACAAGCAGGACCAGTTGCTATAGCCAGATCAGCAGATATCGTTTTTGCTTTTATTTGGCAAATTTTATTTTTTAAAGAAGTTCCTAATATTTACAGTATCGCAGGGGCAATACTGGTAACAAGTTCGGTTATCATAACCGGATTGAGAAAATGGGTCCTCTCTTTACCAAACGATTCAAATTTTAGATATAAGTTAGGACTTTTAGTAAAGTAAAAAAATCACTAGAAAAAAGTAATGTTAAGTTCACAAAATTAAGCTTAAAAAAATAAACTTTGTCTGTGCTCAGTTTTTTTTTTTAATTAAATGGTAAATAATATATAAAAAATTAGTTCACATATGACAATATTTTATGTGTAATGAATGTATGATGTAAAATTGATAAATTGATTTTTCATAAAGAAAAAATTACATTTAACTTATTATTAAATAGGCATTGTTTAAAAGTATCTTAAATTGAAAAAAAAAAAAAAAAAAAAATGAAAAGTTTTGCTAGTCATATTTTGTAATTCTAGTCGAGTTGCCTTGTCATTTTCAATGGCAAATTTTATTTACACAAATACATGTATTCGATTATGTATATGTAACACATGTTGTTTTCAAAATGGTGGTGAAAGATAATTTTTTATATTTCTGTGATTTAAATTCACCATAAATGAAACTACATCATAGCTGAACAACTAACAACACATGATTAATAATATTAATTATGTTTCGAATTAGATATATAAATATATATATTAATTATAATATAAATATATTATTCGGTTACAAATAAAAAAAATGAATTTCAATTTGAGTAAAAGTAACGAATTTTTTTTTTTAATTTGAAACGATTACATTAGTATTAGTAGTAAAAGGAAACCAAAAAAAAAAAAAAAAAGCCAAAAAATTATTATTATTATTATTATAGTAAATTTAAATTATAATTATCCGTTAGGGGTAATTTTTTTTTTTTTTTTTACTAAAAAATTTTTATAATAATATTAAATATAAAAAAAAAAAAAATCAACGTTAAGCTGCCTATTTATTTATATTTAAAAAAAATGTATTCAAAAAAAAAAAAAAAATTTAATTATTATATATTAGAATAATTTTTTTTCACGAATTAAAATTTATTACTCGAATTTATAAAAGTCGTAGTTTTCGATAAGAAAAGTAAATAATAATTAATAATAAATAAATAAATAAATAAATAAAAGGAAAAAAAAAATAACGAGTTTGTAAAATTTATTAATAAAATGCATGTATAAACATTTGTCATATCAATTAAAGACAATAACAATAAATTTATATAAATAATGATAATAATAATTAATCGAAATACTCTATTATTATTATTATTAACCGATAACAATTTTGTTAGACTCGATAGAATTTTTTTTTTTTTTTTGTAATATTTAGAAGGGAAAAAAGTTTAAATAAAAAAAAAAACTTTTATAATATTTAAAAAAAAAAAAATAGTTTTTTTTTTTTTTTTCATAAAACTTACTTAAAAAAATTTTTTTTTTTTTATAAATTGTTAAGAAAAGAAAAAAGTTTATAACTTTTTTTATAATAATATATAAAAAAAAAAAAAAAAAATATGAATATTGATAATAGAGTGATAAAAGGTGGCGTCTGTGAAAAAAAAATTTTTCTTTTTTTTTTTTTTTTTTTTATGGATCAAACAACTCAATTTTCATTTTTTTTTTTTTTCCAAACTACTAAAGAAAATTTTTTTTTTCTTTGTTTGATTTGTAAATATGTTAAAAGGGGGGGGGGGTTAGGAAAAAGTTTTGCAATTTTATAATATCGAAAAAAAAAAATATCTTAAATGTCAAACAAAACAAAAAAAAAAAAAAAACTTTTTGAATTATTTTTTGAATAGAAAATCAAATTTATTGTCCGGGTCGTAGAGGAAAAAAAAAAAAAAAAAGCTAATAAATCATTTTTGTTTGTTGTTGTTGTTGTTGTTGTTTGTAATTCTTTTTGTTTTGTTTTTTTAACGTAACTTTTGTTTTGTTTTGATTTGTAGTTTTTTTTTCCCCCACCACAACGTCAATAAGGAAAATTTTATTTAAAAAAAAACAAAAAAAAAAATTACGTAATTTTTATTAATAATATTATCATCATCGTTATTATTATTATTATCCACCATTAAACACGACAAGGCTACTTGTCGGAGTTTTTAAGTATTTATCCGAGGTTTCTACCCGATTCCTTAGGGACAAATACTCGAATTTCGGTGGTGCCACTTATTATAAGATAGCACCACATCAATTCTTGAAGGTCTTCCTGAGTCCGTCTTTTTCGATGGGAACGATTTGTCTCCTGAACTGGGCTCCAGTGACTAACATCTTTGGAGTGGCCAGGGTCAGAAGCAGTGAAATTCACATTCTCGTCGAGCTGCCTCAGGTCGACAGTAGAACAAGATTTTGTTTTTGGTTCTTACTTTGTCTTGTTCTCATTTTTTTGCTCTTTTTAAGCCAACAGCACGTGGCGTTCTCAAACGGTCACCCATCCAAGTTTGCACCACGCCCGATGCTGCTTAACTTCGGTGATCGTACGGGAACCGGTGTGACCAGCACGCTATGGCCGTTGGCTTTATTATTATTATTATTATTATTATTATTGCATTGTTATTATTATTGTCACTCTTAAACACGGCAAGATTCTTATTTGTCGGGGTTTTTAAGTATTTATCCCAGGTTTCTACCCGACGATTCCTTAGGGATAAATGCTCGGGTGCTATTTATAATATTTTCCGAAGAATGTGGGCCTCCCCACATTGTGCGATTTCCTGGATGGTTTCTTCTTCTTTTAGGTTCTTCAAAATCTTCTTTAAATTTTCTTTCATTGAATATGATGGCATGGCTCCCAGTGCTGCTCCCACGATGACCGGAATCGTTTCTGTTCTTACTCCCCTCATACCTGGGTATTTAAATCTTTTGTCTACTTCTTTGGCTGTCTGGTGTGTTTTTTCTGCCGGCACGGATACCTCAATTAACTTACACCATTTTTCCGCATTATGCCTGAGTATGATATCCGGTTTGTTAGCTGGCACATTTCTGTCAGTATGGATTTGTTGATCATACAGAACTGTGCATGGCACGACCTACTGTCGTAACCGGGGTTGGAATGTGGTTGTATCACTCCTTGGGTAATCCATCCATTCCTTATTATTATTATTATTATTATTATTATTATTATTTTATATAAAATGTCCATCCATCCATCCATTTCATCCATTTAGTAGTAAAAGAATGATTTTCTTTTCTTTTTTTTTTGTTAAGAAAATTTTTATTAAAAGCTTTTTTTTTTCTTGCTTTTTAAATTGATTAAAATGATGAGAAGAAGAAGAAGAAGAAGAAAAAGAAAAAAAAGGAGGGGGAAGAAGAAGAAGAAGAAAAAGAAAAAAATTACAATAGCTATCGATTTTTTTTCTTTTTTTTTTTTTTTAATGCAATTTAATTCAGTTTGTAAAATTATTTTATAATTTTTTTTTTTAAAAGCTTTTTTTTTTTTTTTTATGTAAAATATAATTGGGTAATATTTTCTTCTTCTTTTTGTTGTTGTACTTAACGAAAAAAATTCTTAAAAAAAGAAAAAAAAAAAAAAGGGGGAAAATTTTATAAGAAACACGTGTGTAAAAACAATCATGTTTGTTTAACAGTAAAAGTTTTTTTGTCATAACCTAATTATTAATTATAGCAAATAATTTTTTTTTTTTCTACGTGTTACAGAATCGATACATATCGATACATATCGATCGATTGACATTCTGTAACACGTAGAAAAAAAAAAAAAAAATTATTTGCTATAATTAATAATTAGGTTATGACAAAAAAATTAAAAACTTTCACTCTTAAAAGAAGGCAACCTTCTATGTTGTAACATTAAATATTAGGTCAAGTAAAAAATAAAAAAATAATTACTCTATATTAACACGTAATAAGTTTTTTTTTTTATAGAATAAATTGATATTCAAGGTTTTTTTTCCCCGACATCAATGTCATTATTATTATTATTATTATTAATAAAAACTTTGAATTCACAAGAGTTTCCAAAGTGTTTTGCATATATATTTCAAAGTCCAAACACACAAAACAAACCGGGGAATCGTGTTTTATACAAAACAAAACAAGAAACCTGTTTTGAAAAATTTATTTATTAATTTAAAACCCTTTCAAAAAATATTTTAAATAATAATTTTTATAAAAAAAAAAATTTTATAAAGTTTTTTTTTTTTTTTTTTGATAATGAATTTAAAATTTTTTTAAAAAACAAAACAAAAGTTTTTTTTTTATTTAAAAAAAAAAAAAAGGAAAATTCATTAAGGTACACCGTTAAAAAGTTTTTTTTTTTTTTTTTTTTTTATTTTTATTACCCTTCCCCCTTCCATTTTTTTTTAATTGTTTGCGTTTGAAAATGGCGGAAAGGGAAGTAAGTAAGTAAGTAAAATGGTGAATGAATGGGAAAAACTGTGGAAAAATGCAAATTAATGTTAATTAATTTTATGGTAAAACTGGTAAAAAGTTCGTTAAAAAAAATTTTTTTTAATGCTACCAATTTTCTCACACCTCGAAAAAGGTTTTATTATTAATTTAACTTAAAAGATTTAATAATAAATGATTTGACGACGATAATGAAAGGAAAAAATTGGAAGAAGAAGAAGAAGAAGGAAAAAAAACATAATTTTTTGACAAACCCTCCATCTTCAAAAATTGACTAACATGGCTCCCCGATGACAATCAAAATGTATATTAAATTTCTCAGTTCTTTTCAAATATTTGATTCGTTAACACCTCTAAAAAATTTTCAATATGAGATTAGATTCTGTCGTACCTAATTTTAAAGCTAATACCACATTCGGACCTATTAATTTTTACGATTTTCAAGGAGATTCGTAAGTTAAAAAAAATTTTTTTTTTTTTTTTTTTTTTTTTTTTAATCGCAAGCAAAATGTCGTCACATAACTTTTTATAAGTTCAGGCACGGTTTGTAAAATTAAAATAATTTTCCAAGCCTTTCTGTTAAAAATGATTGAATGATTGAATGAATGATTTATTTTCAATAAATACAATTTTTTTATTTCGTTTGATTTATTTACGATTTATTTTTTTGTTAACGACAATTATACGGTCTAGACAAGTTTATTTTAAAAATGGCGTCTCACTTTATCATTTTCTCTCTCTCTCTCTCTCTCTCTATTTCAAAATTTTTTGATTTGTTTCTTAATTTTTAACTAAAAGTCAGTAATTAAAACTTTTTTTTATATCAAACATATGTCACGTTCATAACGTTCATTTTCAGGTATAGGAGAAATTAATATCAATTAACATTATATATTTTTTTTTTTTTTTAAACATTTCGTACCTGATTTTTAAAGGTTTTAACGATTTGTATTTTCAGATGGGTCGTATTATTTTCTCATCCTGCTGATTTTACACCAGTTTGCACAACGGAATTGGGTCGAATGGCCGTCCATGACAACGAATTTAAAAAAAGAAATGTTAAATTATTAGCACTTTCATGTGATAAAATGCAATCTCATATTGATTGGGTCAATGTTAGTGACATTTTTTTTTTTTATAAACGCATTTTAATTTTTTCTAATCGATTGATTGATTAAACGGGAAAATTTTTTAAACGCTTCATTGCATCCCCATGTTTATAATTTCCAAAAAAAAAAAAGGGATGTAACGGTTATCGTATGATATTAACGGTGATAACAGAGACTCGTATATTAACACGATAAACGATTTGTTTTTTTTTTTTTTTTCCAGGATATAAAATCATATTGTCCAGATATAAAAACAGAATTTCCCTATCCGATAATTGGTGATGAAACTCGAGAGCTTGCCGTTCTTTTGGACATGATTAGCGAAGAGGATAGAAATAATCCAGATTTGGCAATGACCGTAAGAGCTTTATACATAATAAGTCCCGATCATAAAGTTAAATTGGCCATGATATATCCAACATCGACGGGAAGAAACGTTGAGTAAGTTAATAAACTTTAAAAACATTTCATTTCCTTCCATCTTTCCCATTTCCCCCCTCTCTCTCTCTCCCTCCCCAACTTTTTTTTTTTTGGTTGTTAATTTATTTTTCCGTTAATTTTCCAGCGAAATTTTACGTTGCATCGATTCGCTTCAATTATGCAACAGAATAAAATACGTCGCCACTCCAGCTAACTGGACGGTAAGTTTAAAAAAAAAAAAAATTTATTTATTTATTTATACAAATCTAACATATCAGTTTTAGTTTAAACGTAAACTAAATTGAAAAAACATTCAATGAAAACAAACAAACAAACTAACAAACAAACACAAACATTTTCCTAAGCAAATTCAAGAAAAATATTTGATAGTAATATAAACACGATTACGTAAATGAAAGAAAATTTTTTTTTTTTCTCTCTCTCAATATTTGATGTTTGCTTATATTGTACAAATATATATTTCATAAGAGCTATGATGATGATAATGATAATATTTATTATCATTATTATTATTATTATTATCACGACGATTTAAATTGACTCGCGACGTTAAAAACGACGCGAGTTTAATATTTAAGAAAATTTTTAAATTCGTTTTTTTTTTTTTTTTTTTACTATTATTATTAGTATTATTATCAGTATTATTATTATTATAATAAGATATTAATTTTCACACGTGTAATAAGAACAATAATAATACGAAAACAATCAAAAGAATGATAATGATAATGATAATAAATTAAATTAGTTGTAATTTATTGGAGTTAAAAATAATTGTTTTCAATAGTGTTTTTAAAACGATTGTTTTTTCTCGTTCTCGATCTTGTTTGTTGTTTGTTGTTGTTGTTGTTCTCGTTGTTGTCGTTGTCGTTGTTATTTTTTATTTTCCCAAAAGAATGAGAATCTCTAAATCAAAATCCGTTCAATTATAGTAAAACCCCAGGGATTTGTTTGTTTGCGGTCATCATTTTACGGGGTAACTAAAAAACCCTTGTAAAATAAAATAAAATAAAACAAACGGGGGGAAGGGGAGATGGGGAAGGGGAAGGGAGGGGAGAGGGAGGAGGAAATTTAAAATAATAATAATAATAATAAACCGATTGTTTGCGTCGTTATAAAGTATTAACGACCGGCGAGGTGAT